TATCCCCTAGACTGTACTATACCTAGAATTTTCTATATACCTTATTCCAGTAGCTACCTCGTATATAGTACCTAGACTTAGTCCGCCAGCGCCGTCATACTTATAGCAGGCCAAGGCGGGCTTCTCAATACTATAAAAATATATTACGATATTTTGATTGTAATGTAAATATATAACTAAATGCGCGCAATTTAAATAATTAATTTGAATATTTCATTATCTTTTTTACTTATATTTTAATAGAGATATAAATTATTAAAGTTTTTGAAAGATATACCACTTGCAAGATATATGTAAAAAATCCGACTCTCAAAGTGACGATGAGAGTCGGTCGGCTGGCTGCAAGCGTTCCCACCTAACCGACGAGTATATATAACAAACAAACAGAGCACACAACGCAAGACGATGATCTCAGAAACGTCTGGATTCGCCTTTCCATCACAGCTTCAAACGATAGTGTCAAAGCACAGCGAAGCCCAATCTCTCGAGTTCATTTTGCCTCGTCATGGAGAGGACATCAGCAAAAGGTCAGCAGGATGGTTGTGATGGACGTCCAGGGGCCTGGCCTCAGGAGATTTGACGTGCCGAGTTCCTGGAGCCGACCGCCCTGTAAAGCTGGTGACAGGCAATGCTGCCAACAACCACACACCTCAGCAAGGTTCTTTGCTTTTCTGGACAGGCAAAAGACAGACAAGCCAAGCATGAGTGGCACGGGGCTATCGGACTACCGCTTGTGCTTGCTTGCTTTTGACGCTGCTAAAAGCTGTCAAGTTAGGCTGTCATCTTGAATCCCTTTGTCGCATTTCAAGGACCTGATACTCAAAAGTGTAAAAGAGCAAAGGGAGGAAATGGATTGGATGAGCTCACGGAGGGGGCAATGTCACGCTGCGGAAAAGGAGCTTGGAGGTTGCTTGCCTTCAATGACATCGAATCAGGCCCAGCGGTTAACGGTGCTCCCGAGGTGCATCGCAACTCTCCCAGCAGACTGGACGGAAGAAGCTCTAACAAGGCGATTGACGGGAGGCCGACCACAAGGCATTGCTATTGTTAATGGCATGGTGTGACCTTATAAAAGTTCAATATGACCGGCGGGAATCCCAGAATCTCATGGGCTCTGCTGACTGGATTGAGGCGAGCAAGTGGATGGATAGAACGGGATCATGGAAAGTGAGATGCCCGTCCAGGGCATCATCTTTGCCTTCGCCGTCGGAGCTCCTCCAAGCTTCGTGGATTGGTGTTTGTTTGGTGGAGTGCTTCCCACTACGACCGGGGACTGCAACGCTTTGGTCAGTGCGCTAGGTTGGTTCGAGTGTTCCTTCCTCATTAGAAACCTCGCTTCGTGGATGCTAATGTCCCGCTGTGACTGTTAAGGTTTCGCACCCAAACATACGCGGTGACACTAGCAGATTGGCAACGGCGACACTATTGAATTTGATAATGTGAGCGAACAAATGACGCCTTGGCTGCTGTCCAGGTCGCTCCATGGTTGCCGCGCTGCTGTAATGCGGTGTCCACTCTCGGTCATGCCAGTCGGCAGTGGTCGAACCAGACTCAAGACAGCAAGATGGTCATGGGAAGACGCCCGCTCGCCGTACAAGTAGATCCGATTCCACTTTGCATCTCATCAGTGTCATCACCAGGGGACTTGTCTAGCCGAGAGAGAAACGAATCCACGCAATTCTACCGTCAGCCACCACGGGCCACACACGGGTGGGCGGCCACGGGCAGTGCGTTAGATTTCGCTGTTTCTGTTTTGAGAAATACGGAACAGCAATATCACGATCCTCAGAATTCGAGATATGGATATACATACGGGTGCACGGCATGTTCCATCCAGTCCCCAAAGCTGAGGCAGGTCTCGAAGGAGTCAAGGACCTTCCCCTTGGATTGCGATTGCTGGCTGGCTGGCTGGCACATCCACACTCCACACATCCATCCAGACATTCAGTTCAATCCCGTCCGTCCATCCCACACCACTACGGGGAACCGGTAGAGTTTTATAGGCATCAGAATGTCCTGCAAACCTCCCTTCTGCAGTCAGAGAAAGGGTGACTGCTACCAACCTGAAGCGTCACAGGCGGGCAGGTCATAGCATCACCGACCTTGAACCCAACGTATCAGAAGGTCAGAACCCTCTTTCGCCTGTCCATCCATTGCCTGTAATGTCTGGCACACCTACAGCCGAAGCATCCCACCTTGGCTACCCCGTAAGATACCCACGGACACGGACGGTAATGTACGGGGGTGTGCTCTGTGGTGCCGGGACAACTGTACGTACACCAACTGGAACTGTCGTCCTTCGCTTTAACTTTACTTTGTTTGGCTAGAGGTGCCTGGGGACGGAGACGGGGACGGCCTGGTTGTTTCCATCGTCTTGCGCAACACAACGCAGGGGGTTGGCAGGATACGATGTCTATCAGTCCATCACCATGAGACTGTCCGATTCCATTTCATCTCGACATTGAAGATATACGACTATCAATGATCTCGACTCAGACCTTCCGTCGTTTCGCTTTCCAGACTTTTCATTCACGGTTTGGGATTGCGAACCAGAAAGGATGAACAGCGAAATGTAATGTACAACCTCAATACCGTCATGGGTACCCCGGGCCTTCCATGGGGCGGCCCCCCTTGTCCATCCCATCCATGCCCCGTACGCTAGGGCATCCGGTAATCCATCTCGAGTCCCGTCATCAGTTGAGGGCAATCCGTACTGGGTAAAGGTTTGGCCAAGACGTTTCTTACGGGGTACGGACAGTACGAAGTTGGGGCACAAGATACTATGGACTCTTGGTTCTGACTACCAGTGACCACTAACCACTCCTTCATCAAGGTGTTGCTGGCAGCAAAATGGACGGATGCTTTCACTGTGAAGCTGGCTCACCCGTCAGTACAGACCATCCGGATAGGCAGAGTGGTGCTCGGTCTCTCAGTGTGTGTGTTCAAGAAGCGAATGTGCACAGTACACAGTACGAGGAGTTGCCGGGGGCCCTGTCTTAAATGGCCCTTTAACCAATCTCTGCCGCTGGTCCACTCCCTTTTCTTGCACTCCATCCTCTCTCTCTCTCTCTCTCGCTCGACCCGAGCAAATATCTATTCTCCTCCTCCCCTTTCCTCTTCATTCCTCCTCCCATTCCGCCTTCAGTCGTTCCCTATCCCGAAACATTTCCTTCCAAAAAAGAGATCCCCGATCGTCCCGACGTCGTGGTTCTCTTGTGTATTCCTTTTTTTCGCCAAAAGAAAAGGAGGGAAGGAGGAGATTTAGATACTCGAAATCCTGGGCCATACCGACAAGTTACCATCATCCCAGGCCGAAACACCGCTTTAAGGATATAAGGACCGTGGTCAGAGAGTAGTTAGAAAGCAAAGAGAGTCTTGCATTTCGATTTGCATTGCTCCCTCGTGCTTTTTAGCCTCCTGTGTGTGTTGTTCAGACAAAGTCAACACTCCCGAGTCCACTCCCCCTTACCGCATTTTCGGTACCGCAGTCCGTAATTTCGTACTGCAACCAAAAAAAAGGGCATTCTTCGGTCCGACGACGAGGAATTTCCTTTATAAAACCCTTCCGACTCCCTTCGTTCCCACGAACAACCCTTGGGATACCGGCAACACCCACCCATCTCTCATTCCCGAACCGAGCAACCCACCACCTCGTCGACGCCGACCTCGATTCGATATCCACATACTCAGCGACTGCGCCTTTTTGCATCGCTGCCCCGACCGACCTCGCCGATTCGAATCGACATTGCCGTCTCCGAATCCCGACGATAAACATACCGACCCCGTGCGAAGCCTTTGCTGGCCTTTTCCTCGGAGTTGAAAGAGTGCAGTGAGAGGTACGCAAGAGATGCAAAGGGGCGGACACTGGAGGGTTGGTCTGTCAACTCGACCTCAATTCATTCTCAGGTCCCAGTGATGTCATAGCTTTCATTGGCAAGACTGATCTGGATCTGAGAATGAAATGAAATGAGTGGAGGGAATGAATATATGATGTTGAATCTGGAGCTAACCTGTGGCTGTCTTCTCCCTTTCCAGACACATGCCACCGACCCGCGGCATCTTCCATCTTCACCCGCACGCCTGAACCATTTGTCGTCGATCCCAAGGTTGCCTTTTGTGGGACACGTTAGCTCGTCTCTCCCACCTTGTCGATATCCCCCGATCGGTCTTCACGGTAGTTCTACATCTACCGTTGCGGTAAGGGATCCCTTTTTCTGCATTGCCTTGCCTTGCGCATTCTTCAACCCGTCACCCGAGCCTCACTTGTGCACAATGTGCATCCCGCATTTCCAAAGTCTCTCAGCCCCATGAACCACCTTCCCATTAAAGACCTGATACACAGCGGGACACTTTCCTCAGTTTCCTCCCATCACCTACCGAGCACACAAAGAGAGTCATCCAGCCAGATCTGGGCTTTCATGGAACAGATCTGTCCAATGAGAGTGCTCAATTTGCAGTTACCCCTTGAAATGTGGAGTCACGACATCAACCCGTCTGAGCTCAAGATTGATCAGAGATCCAGGGACCTCCTGGCTGCGGTCTCAGGAACGGTCCGTCCGTTGCTTGGGACCAAGATTGCGAAGCGAATTTGGCTGACTTGGAACGTTTAGAAGCCCCTTCAGACGGCATTATTCATAACCTCGTGTTTCCCGGCCACAGGCACACACACACTCCTCCCGTCACCTAGACGAGAGTCCCTCGACCTCTCGTCTCTACAGTTTCCAACCAACCCGGCGTTATCAACAGCCACCGTCACTCCTTCTACAGAAAGCATCCGACAGACTTGATATTTCAGCACACTCTTTAATACTTTAATACTCGTCCGTTTACGACACGCGACAACCTGATAGACTTGAGCCTCATTCTTTCGGCTCATTTCGACAACTAATACTACAACAACACGATTTCCAGGAGAACTCGGAACTCACTCACCACTCATTCAGCCATCACCGCTTTACGAGAAACAAAACTTCCATTAACAACCACCACACCACATCAAAATGGTTACCTCACGTCACAACGACGAGACCTTCTTCGTCGAGTCCGATGAACAGCCCGCGCCAAGGGTAAACGTTCGGGATGCTGCCAAGCTCATTGCTCGGAACAAGCAGGAGATGATCGCCAACAATCTATCACGACTTGCTTGCGACGAGTACCTTGAGGATATCATGCAGCACATCCGTCACATGGAGGTAAGAATGTCCAAGTTTGTTTCTGATTGGTTGGTTGAAAACGTACTGACATGAACATGACTTGATAGGACGAGACGCTACCCGATGCTAACCTCATCGATATGCAACGCGAAATCCAATGGTTCATGCGCCCGTACCTTATCGACTTCCTTATCGAGGCTCACGCTGCCTTTTCGCTTCTTCCCGAAACCCTCTTCCTCACTGTCAACCTTCTCGATCGGTACTGCTCCAAGCGTGTCGTTTACAAGCAGCACTATCAGCTCGTCGGTTGCGCCGCCCTACTGATTGCCGCCAAGTATGGAGACAAGAAGGATAGAGTCCCCCAGATCAACGAGCTCAACAACATGTGCTGCGGACTTTACGATGCCGGCATGTTCACGCAGATGGAAATGCACGTACTCAACACTCTCGACTGGAACATTGGACACCCGACCGTCGACTTTTTCACCCAATTGATCGTGGCCGAGGAAAGGGACAGCAGGGACGTCGAACACATGGCGGCATACATTTGCGAGATTGCCCTGTACCATAGGGATTTCGTTTCCACCAAGCCATCCATCATGGCACGGGTTTCTTTGGTCTTGGCTAGGGCTATCTTGGGCAAGCCCGAGGTTAACGATGGGGAATGGGACCAGGTCGAGAATGCCACGCTCTTGGCTCTTTCGCAGCACCTTCACCAGCCTTCCGTCACGCTTTCCAGGAAGTACTCGAGCGCATACCTCTCCAAAGTGTCTGGCAAGCTCGCCGACTTCCTCGCTCAGCAGGCCGCCATCAACCGCCGTGGCGGCGCCCCGCCTTCCTCTCCTGGCGAGCTGACCCCCAACTCCAGCAAGGCGTCCAATGTCTACAGCACTCCCCACAAGGGTCTGGGATCCGTCCCCGGCGCTGCCGATGGATACATGACCCCTCCGATCACTCCCGACGCCTCCAGCTTCGGACAGAACGGCACGATGATGAAGGAATATCCTGTTCCGCGTTGTCCGGTGACCCCGACACCGCAGCCGAACCACAGCCAATCATACCCACCAGCAGCACAACATCAGACTTCAGCATCATCAACATCAACAACAACAACGGCGCCCTCATACTTTGAGACCGCGCCGTCGTCTCAAGTCGCTTACTAAGTTGAAGGTTCAGTTCAGTTTTTAAAAGGGGTCTTACTCTCATGAGGAGTGAGTCCTCTGTGTATTATGTTGTGTGTAAGGTTGGTTGGCAGCGAACAAGGTTCAGGTTTCTTCTATTTCTCTCATCATTCGGCCTCCTGCTAGGACGGGGTTATGCATGGTCACTCATCCAGATACCATAGTTTTTGACAGAAGGCATTTTGATTACAACATTTAAATTTTTTGGAAGACAAGAAGATTGCACACATCACACACATTCCATCGGCATTATCACATCATCTTTGTTTCGCGCGCAGTGGACACACACATTTTAGCGGCATGGCATATTAGCGTTTGATTTTTTTTTTTTCTTTTTACAACAAACAATACTCGATTACCACCAGCTTTTGGTGGTAGTTTTTTTTTTAAACCGTTTCCAAATCATCTTGATTTTCCCCGCGTTTTGATCTCCGTTCTTTCGGCCGCCGATTGAGAAACCGTTCTCGATCCCTCTTGAACTCACCGGCTTTTAATTTTCCCTACCCCCCAACCAAACTCAACAACAAGAAACGAAAGGATCGACTACAACACTCTACGACGACCACAACATCAGCAGCGGCGACAACAAAGTCGAGAGGTTCTTTTTTTTTCTTTGGAGATTCCCCAATGGACAGGCTGGCACCACACCACTGCGGGCTATCGAGGCGGAAAACCTGGACAACGTCAAACAGACAGACAGACAGACCAACATTTGAAAGGATGGATGGATGGATGGATGGATCAAACCAAACGGGCAGACGCAACGGAGCTTTGAAGGTGCTACAAGTCACCACGATCTGGACCACCGGATTGACTAGAGGGAAGTGGAAGGGAAGGGGGGAAAAGTAAGAGGGATCAGTCGGTCGATGGAGGCAGACAAGGAGAGGCGTCTGATCGGATCCAGAGGGAAAAAGAGTTGAAAAGGGAACAACCAAAAAAAGATTAGCATTCACTGTGTAGGATGAAGGATAGGAGGAGCACCCGACAAACCCCCAAGTTTTTGCGTTTTATTTTCAAGGGAAGGGATTATGTGCGGTGCCATGCTGGATTTGATATTGTGTTGGAAGGAAAAGGGTTGGAAGAATTGGACGGCGGCGGACAGGGACATACTGGAAAGGTTGAGAGACAACGAAGATGCAACTGGCATACTTACTGGCTTGGTGAAGAAGAGCAACGGACACATCATCAAATCAATTCAAGAATACTACCCCGTCACTGCAAACAATCGGAAGAAAAAAGAACAACATTCGTGACCATGCCCAAACCAGTCCTGTCCTGTCCTGTCCAACCCAATCCAGTTCAGTGAACGGCGAGAGGCAATAGAGAGAAAGAAGTTTCGTTTCTAGCTAGGTACGAGAGGGATATAGGCGGAGGACACATACACACATGTGGAGGTGGGCAAGATAAACCAAAACGAAAACAACCACAAACAAACAAACTCCGGCAAATAGAGAGATACCCCAGGGCTTAAGTTGACTTTTGATTTAATTATTGTATTACATTTCTGCTTTATTTTTTCCGTTCCGTTCCCACTTTTCGTGATTGTGCTCGTGCTTCTGCCCCTGATGATTCCCGTTCTATTCCGCCTCGGAACTGCGTTACTTCGTGTGTCCAACATTACCTGAAAACTCACATGTACTAGTAATAAAAGTGAACGCACAACCTGAGTGAGTCTGTTCTAGAAGAAAGAGGCAGGTTTTCCGTCTCATCATCAACTACGTTTACCTCTAGAGTCACCATCAACCAAACTCATGGGACGGGTAGGTAGTGCCACGGAAGGGAGGGGGACTCCATTCAGTCTCCATTCAGTAATTAATTGCGTTTGTTGTTGTTGTTGTTTCATCCATGAGGGTTAAAACTGCCTAGAAGCTAAGGTAGAATGAGATCGGGCATATATCAAATATCAGATCAGAGATATCAGATAACCACTTAACCTCTACGTAGGTAGGTAGTAATCGAAACAAAGGAATTAATTACATTGATCCTTCTTATCATTTACTTCTGTCCCTCGGAGATTGGGTCCCTCTCCTTAGAGTTACTACTCTACACACCTGTTTTTTTTTGTCTGTTCAGTTCAGTTCTGTTCTGTTCTGTTCATCCCTCCCTCCCTTCCATCCATCCACAAGTGGAAGTGGTGAACCCAGAGTTCCAGTTTAGTTCCAGTCCATGAATGGAATCTTCCTGTCCCAGATCTCAGGATTCCCCCTCCCTCTACGATTGTTCTTCATCCCTCCCCCCCTCCCTTCGACCCATCTGCGCCCATCCATTCCATTCCTACCTTACCACTTGGGCTTTCTAGGCTAGGTAGGAATCCTCAGGTAGGAGAGCGTGTCGTCGGCCGCCTGTTTCTAACTTCTTTTCGCATTTTACATTTTCGTTCGTTTTCTATATCCTCTCCGTGCAGCGTGGTCACTTTCCCTGCTTCAGTAAGTAAGTGTCGATCTGCTCAATCTGTGAAGAATACTTTTGGGCATGGAGAGAAGTTCCCTAAACGACTGAATGCGGTTTATCTGTGTCTTTAGTAGTGATCTATTCGAAGGACCAAAAATCACTTACAGACGCCAGTTCCGACAGCGGGTATGTTGTTTGGCATGTAGTATTTGAAATTGCTACCCGGTTCTCTATCGCTGCGAAAACATCTGAAAAGACACAACGCTTCCAAAGGATGTTCTCTACGTGAAAACTCCTCCTTTCCGTGCCTGCCGCGCGCAGCTGCTGTGCTCATCCGTGCCCTTCCCTCGTCCGTCGACGTATCAACCAAGTATTCATTGCCACCCTCTCTTCTGTATGAACCTCCGCTTCTCATCTCCCCAATCACAGGCTCCCTCTGCGTGTTCCATATGCACCGTGGGCTCATAGTACACCGCCGCCGCGTTTCACAAACACCCGGACCGACTTCCGTTGCTTTCCTCCATGATCTCTTCATCATAGCCAGAGCAGCGTCACGTCACTTGTTGACTTGATAACCTGTCTCTCCCAAGACCACAACCAGCCAGCTGCTCTGGTGTTTAGTTATAAGCTAGAACCCAATTGCCGTCCTAAGGCCCGAACTGGTATGGGTCAAAGTTCCCATTTGGGTCAAAATATGTTGGCGCCGCATTAGCCTCGAGGCCCTGTCCCGGCACTTCGTTGAGCCCTGGTGCCAGCCTCCTCCCACCCTACTGGGGCAAGGCATACTTCTGTGTCCATTCCCGGGCGGTGGCGACGGCGACGTTGGGGTTCTCCTTCCAGGTCTTGGCCACGTCGGGGGCGAGCGGGTCGTCGGGGTTGGGAGCGCCTAGGAGGGCTTGGATGGAGAGGAGGATAGTGCGGATTTGCAGGGCGGGGGACCAGTTGTCTGTCGGGAGGTATCATGTGTAAGCTTTTGCATTTGGAAGTATTTAGGAGTCAGACTCACTCTTGAGGACGTCGAGGCAGATGCGACCCAGCTTGTCGACGTTGGGGTGGTAGATCTTGGTAAGGAAGCGGATCTTGGGAGGGGTCATGGGGTAGTCATCGGGGAGGAAGAGTTCGAGCTTGAAGACGCCACCTGCGTTGGCCTGTTAGCGATCATGTATATGTTTCTTGGGACGTTTTGACTGCGATGGCGCAATGAGGGTAGAGATATAACGGGGGGATATGGATGACCAACTCTCATATGGCGATTGCGAAGGGCCGTGGATCTCGACGTCGAAATAGCGAAGGTTGTCCTCGTGGGGGATAGCACTAATACCGGGGACACTGTGATCAAGAAGGGGAGGTTAGGACTGTCTCTGGGCTGCTTGCTCTCGGGATGAGGATGGTATGTACGTACGGCTCGGCCATCAGCCTTTCGGTCTCTTTGACAATCCGCTTCGGAAGCGCCATGCTGATTATATTAACTGCTGTTGGTGTTTATTGCGACAGGAAGCTGGACAAGCAGGCGGGAGAAGTTGCTGTGAGGAAAATCCGGATGTTTCTCGCCGAGGCTGAGAGGGAGGAGGGCAAGTGGAGGGGTTATCGTCGAGTATAAGAGGCAGTTAAGAGGCGTTTCGGAGGCTCCGGTTGACAAATCGAGGCAAACAGTGTATCACGGTGCGGGAGGGCCTGTAAACAATGGAACGCGTGGTAAAGCGGTGATATGGCTAGAATAAAATAGTCGCAAGGCAATCGACTTGTCAGCTTGTTAGAGAGAAGTGGAAGACGGCAGAATCTCTTGCGACACAATTCACGGCCAAGTTCTCGACGACCGAACGAAGGCAGAAGGTGGGATGCGCTGACGGCGGGCGCAATGAACCCGCGGCGTGCCTCTCTGCCCAGGGCGGGGAGTGTCTCACTAACCAAACCATTGAATGACAGCAGCCACGGCCCTGACAGCGACAGGTGATGATCCGTCTCTCTGATCGGATCTCTATTGCGATAAGCGCACAGACCACATGATCGAAAAAGGTACATGGCCAAAGTCACTTTCCTTGGCGTCCACATGAGTGCCGTTCCTGTCTCCAACGGTTCGTCGGCGCCTTGTTGAGGTTGACGCCGTTGTCGGTTTGACCTTCTTGGCTCTTAAGGGTTTCCTCATTGCATTTGTCTTTCAACCGGCCTTCATTCTTCTTCCGCTGATATCGACGCCTCTCGATATGTTTTGCATCGATCGACGGCGACGACGACCTTTGATATCTTGTTCAACATAAAGTCTCATCAAGTCCCGTCAACACAACTCAACTCATCCTTGCTTTACCACTTCAGGTTCAAACTCCAGCACGGAGAATGGGATGAGGGAGGGAACGCACCATGCTGATATAGTCTCACAATATGCCGTCCGTATTTGACTCGACGCCAAAGAAGGCCAAGACAATCATGTCAGCCTTCGACAGTGAGAGCTTCGATGCCGACCTGACCATCCATGTTGATGGCTTGGTGGGCTCCGCAACCATCTCACCCTCGGGCCGTGATGTTGCTCTTGCTTCCCCTGAAGGCCTCGCCATCATAGACCTGGACTCGCCATGGAATCCACCGCGAAGACTGAGCAGTCATGGCCTCCCGTGGCTGGTTGTCGATGTCCAATGGTCTCCTTTTGCAGCCCGTGACTACTGGGTCGCTTCGACAGCAAACCATCGCTGTCTCGTATGGAACCTCAACATGAGGGACGACTCGCCCTCTGGCGCCATCGAACACTCGTTGCAAGCTCATAGTAGAGCCATCACCGACATCAACTTTTCCGCTCACCACCCAGATCTTCTAGCCAGTTGCTCAGTCGACGGTTATGTTCACCACTGGGATCTGAGAAGACCGAGACAGCCAGCCTTGACATACTGTGACTGGTTTGCCGGTGCCACCCAGGTCAAGTACAGTCGTCAAGACCCTCACGTCATTGCTTCAGCTCACGACCGGTGGCTTCATGTCTGGGACGACCGCAAGACCGTCGAACCACTGAAAACCATATGTGCCCACACGTCCAAAATCTACGGTATCGACTGGAATCGGACTGAGGCTTCAAGATTGGTTACCTGCTCCTTGGACAAGACCATCAAGTTCTGGGACTACGAAAAGACCGACGAGCCAGAGCGAGTTATTCGCACCGACTTTCCAGTATGGCGAGCTAGACATACTCCTTTTGGCACCGGCTTGCTTGCCATGTCACAGAATGAGCCGGGTAACCTCTACCTGTACGATCGGCGAACCGCCCCAGAAGCCCCAAGCGCATCAGAACCTGTTGCCGTTTTCTCGGGACACGGAAATCACAAGGTGAAAGAATTCCTGTGGAGAGCTCGAGGATCAGTTAATAGCGAGGGGATAGATGAGCGAGAGTTTCAACTGGTTTCTTGGGGCGAAGATAACGAGTTGCGGTTGCAGAAAGTTGAGCCCGAAATTCTCGAGTCCGTTGGCTATGTGAAAGGGAAGACCGTGGGGAAGAACCTGGCCTTCACCCGCACCCGTAAAGGCGCAGCTTACAAGACTTTCCGCGCAGTTGACGATACTGTCCACCGCGATCGCAGAACTGCCACCATGAGCGACCCGCGTCCGGGAAGCTCAGGTCAGTATCGCAAAAGTGCTCTGAGCTACGGCCTGAATTCCCATCTCCGTCGGGTTGGGCCTACCTGGCAAGGTTCTTCAATGAAGGCAAAGGTAAACAGTGGCAAAAGTATGGACAAGAGTCAGTTGCAAATCGGGTGGATGAAGGGTATCTCTATGACCAAGCGGAAATCCGAGTCCGATGGCCCTGAGAGAGGTAGCATCAAAGACTCTGGCCTCTTCAGCCATGGTGCCTATGACGACGATTGGGCTGAACCCGAGTCCATCCAGGACGAGTTCATTCATGTCAGCAATCGTCTCCCCAACGTAAAATGGGAAAACATCGATATGGATGCTTTGATTCTCAATGCCTCATTGAAGGGACCGTGGGGTGTCAACGACGAGGGAATCTTCATCAAGGTTAAGGTCGATATCCCAACCAGCTATCCCACCAGCAAGGCCCCCAAGTTTTATGTGGAAAAGACATCCTTCATGCCCGAAGAAACTCACGAGAAGATCGAGCGCGAGTTACAGATACTTGCCAACCAGTTCCTCGAAAGGAAACAAAACTGCCTCGAGGTGGCCTTCTCATACTTGCTCGGCGACGTCGACCTCGAAAACAGTACCACCCTCTTTAAGAATGTCAGGGATCTCAACGACGAGGAAATCGAAGCGCTAGCAGACGAAAGCTCCAGCGATGAGGAAGACAGCGATGTTCAGGCTGGAGGATCGGTCTCAATGTCACAGGACCTTACCATGAGCAATGAACTTGATCCGACAGCCACCCTAGCTCCAACACAACGCCCCATTGCAGTGCCGACGCCCAGAAAGTGCGGAGCGAGATTTTCCAACGACGGCAGACTTGTGTGCTTCTTCCCCTCGAAAGAACAACAAGCCCTCGCATTATTCTCGCTCCCCAATTCGGATGCCTATCGTGATCGACAGAAAGGAGAACCAAATTTTGCAGGTTTCGGTCGTCTTGCTCAGGATTCGCCGCCTCCGAGACGTAGATACAACGATGATAACTCGGGTTCTGACGACACAAGTGATGGAACGGAAGATTCGGAATCCAGCTCCTCCAGCGATTCGGAGCCGTCAACCATGCACAAGATCAGTCTATGGTATCAACCTGGTGGGCGTCGTCTTAAGAAGACCTGGAGTGCCAACGACTCCTTGCGCTCTAGCGGAGGAGGCACTGGCGCTGGTACCGGTACTGGGACGGGCATCAGTCGAAGAAGGCTCCCAGCCAGGCCCAAGAATACCATCGCCATTCATGATCTGCGTCGCCTACTCCCATCACAGAAACAGTTTGCTCAGGAGTATGCCATCTTTGGCGATGGCGCTGATGTGTGCATGCATAACGCCATGGTTGCAGAGAAATATGGATATCACGACCTGGTTCACATATGGCATTATGCCGCCATGTTGTTGCGCAACGATATCCCACTTGAAATCCATGAAAACAGAAAAGAGTCTGTTCTTGTAATAGCCAGGGATGCCTCTGCACGGGCTCGGGATGATGAGTATGCACAGCACTTCGGTTGGGACATTAATTTGTCTGGCCGTGTCAAATGGGGTTATCATCCACTAGCTCAGAGCTTGATTGCCGACCTTTTCGACTATTTCGAGAAGGTGGCTGACATCCAGATGTTGGCGATGCTTGCTTGTATCTTCGGAGACTCATCCGCTGAGGATGGGGTAGCTTATGCAGGATCACATCTTCCCCAGCCTGAGACGCCTTTGCCGATGAAGGCCCCTTCTTTCTCACTAGAGTATTTCCCTACCGACCCAGCATTATGGCATATCAACTACAAGAGTCAAGCTGGTAGTGCCATCACGACTCCTAGAACGGTCCACACTCCTGCGATATACTCAGGGTCACCAGGATCCGAGGACGTCATAGCTTTGCTTGAGCCTACGCCCAACTCCTTCTCCGCTGGCGAAACTCCTCCAAAGATGCCTCGCGATCATCTAAGAGAAGTCGACCAAACTCAGAGTCTATCTACATCGCCTAGCAATAGGCTCTTCCACCGCTCCAACTCGGCTGTTTCTGCAGCCTTCAGCCTCCCGAAGACACTGGCTGGGATGGTTTCGGGGTCGCCTCCAGATCCCCCGTCACGAAAGCGGCCTAGCCCTGCCGAAGCCATATTCAATAACCTTACCCCAAGTGTCACCTGGGGAGCTTCAACCGTGTTTGGGGGTACGGCTCCCGAAACACCGGGTACGGAACGAACTTCACTCTCGGATGATGAGACTAGAAGTCATGACATGACCGTCTTGGTACCTGTTGCAGTCTCCGTCGTACCAGAGAACCAAGGTCTCTTTGACGATGACGGATGGCTCAACACGCCTCTTCTCGATCCAAGCCGTAACCATGTCTACTCATATTACCGTTATGCCTACGCTGAAATGCTGCAAATGTGGGGCCAGCCGCTATCTCGCCTCGAGATCATGAAGTTCAATGTCCTCAAGGGCGACAAGACATCGAGCTCTGGGTGCTACGGCGATGGTACACACAGCATGGACGGCTACTACGATCACGAAACGGCCGAGAACACCGCTGCTAACAGCGCCAGCCAAAACCCTGCCTTTGGCGGACGGAAGGAACAACTCCAGGCTTTGATCGCCTCTGGTCGCGGCCTTGATGTTACGGGCATATGCCGCATCCATGAGGAGCAGCTCGATCCGGTGGAGTACACCAGGCCAACCAAGGGCAAATATGGCGGTGCCGTTGGTACATGCCATAGGTGTGTTAAAGCCGGTAACAAGAAAGAACAGAAACAGCTGCGCTGCGTGTACTGTCTCGAGCCCATCGCCGCGCTTTACCCGCCTTGTCTCAGCTGCGGCTGCGCCTTCCACGAAGCCTGTCTGGCTGAATGGCACGAGATGGGCGAAGAGGAATGTCCAGCGGGTGATGATTGTTGCTGTGTCGAAGATGCCGGCAACGGGCACGTGGAAAGATGGTCGGCTTTGCAAGCTGCCGTGGCGGCGATGAATAAGATGAGAAGTGCCGCCAGCGGAAGCCTACACCAGCAGATGATGGACCGCGACAAGGAGAAGAGCTCAGGCAACCAGTCGGGCATATCAAGGAGATCATCCATCAAGACCGTCCTGACCGGCGTCGCCAGCGTCGCCACCGAAGGCACCGGCAGCCGACCGCGTCGGCGAAGCGTACCCACCGACCTCGCCAAGTTCATGCGCGGCGGCCGCTCCGACCCCAAAGCCTACCCTCAGAACGACGACGACTACGACGAAGACGACGACGACCTCCCCATCATCGCCATCACCAGTTCCAACGGCTCCAGCGACCGCAGCCGCAGCGCCCACCCCACCAACCGCCGCGCCGTCTCAACTGCCTCCCCCTCCATCCCGCCCGTCATCACCACCACAACCACAAGCCCGCACCAGTTCGGCCGGCGCAGAGGCGGTAGTTCCGCCTCTCACCTCGCCGCCACCGGGTTAGGCTATGGCAGTGGCTACGGCCATCGATCCTCAAACCTCTCCCACTTCTACATCGCAGCTGACACAGACAACTCGGGCGACTCCGCCGACTCCAACAACGACGACACCGACACTGCCGCCCAATCCACAGCCTCCAACTCCAACCGCACCTCGCAGATCCTGCTCTCGGGCAATGACATCATCGACCGCGAAGAGTGGGAATCCGTCGCTTCCTCGCGCGGCATTCCTTCCCTTTCCAATGACCCGCTCCACCCTTCCCACCATTCTAGATCCGGTTCTAGGTCTGGGTCCGGTGCTTCCTCCCGCTCTGCCTCGGGTGGGTCTGATACCGGTGGTATGAAAGACAGTAGTACATCGTCGTTGACATCAAGGGTAGGTGGAGGAGGAGGAGGTGAAGGTGGTGGAAGTGATAATAGCAGCAGAAGACCACACCACGAACGCACGCCTAGCGGAAACAACAGAGGGTTCACGGCGCTGAAACCGCCACCTTACGGAGACGAGCCGATAAGTGTGGCGAGATTGAGTTTGGGGAATCGGTTGAAGAAACATATTGCTAGTGCTGCTTCTGCTTCTGGTTCAGGGTCGAAGGGTGGTGGTGATTCAGGGTCTGGTGGAAACGGGAATATCGCTGGAAGTGATAGCGGTGGGGGTGAGACTGGTGCTGCAGGAGGAGGGAGTGGCGGTGGCGGAAATGGTAACGGAAATGGGAGTGGTAACGGTGGGAGTAGTGGAGGTAGCTCCTTATTGGGAGGTGGACAACAACGACCGAGTTTATTGAGAAAGAAGAGTACTGGTGTTGGTGTTTGGAGGGCCGGTAACTAGATCAAAGAAACTATAAAGGAAAAGGAGACGGAAGTTGGGAGTTGGGAGTTAAAAGCAATTACTTGCTAGATAGTAATGTAAGGTGTACATAGCTAATAGGTTAGCGAAAAGGGATCTTGAATTGAATTCGACTTTTCTAAAACGTACTTCTTCCCACACTCTTTATTACTCACTTCACTTTTATATTCAATTTCACTTCACGTCTCTTTACTTCGCTTTACCTTTCTCTTCACCTCTCTTTACCTTTTTTTTTTACCTCTCTTTTTACCTCTCTCCTCACCTCTCTTTTTACCTCTCTCTTCACCTCTCGCTTCACTTCTCTTTTTACCTCTCTCCTCACCTCTCTTTTTACCTATCTCTTCACCTCTCCCTTCACTTCTCTTTTTACCTTTCTCTTCACTTCTCTCTTTTCTTCTCTCTTTACCTCTCTTTACCTCTCTCTTCACCTCTCTCTTCACCTCTCTCTTCACTTCTCTTATTACTTTTCTCTTTAGTATTCTCTTTACTTTCTCTTACCTCCCTCCCTCCTTACTTCTCTTTACCTCGCTTTACCTCTCTTCGCTTAGCTCTTCAACGTCATCTTCACCTCTCCTATCTATAAGTAAACTCTTTTCAATCTCCCCATTCACCTCTTTATTACTCCTCCCTATATATATTACAATCAAGGCCGGCATCGTCATATAAGAGCGCCAAGCGTGACACACCAATTGTCAAAGGTAGCTGTGACATATTCCCTATATAGTGTGTGTACTCATTCAAGTTCCCTCTAAGGAACAGAACTCGGCACGATCCATCTTTTGCATCGGGTTAGTTACGTGTGGTAACCATTGTATGTAGAAGCCCTACTTCATGAGTCTGACTCAAGTTCATAATATACGCGAGAAACTACAGTAGATTCCTCTAGATCTAAAACTTTAACATACCGACCGCTGTTCCTTTTCTCAAGGACCATCGAAACTGAAAACTCGCCAAAAGATTCATGCCCCGCCTGCGCTTCTGTCTAAACTGAATATATAAAAAGATAAAAAGATATATGTTTGGATGCACTGCCCGACCACGCTTCCCTTCTCACCACTATAGTCCCTCCTCCCTCTAGTATCCCAGCTTCACTTCACTAGTCACCAATGTCAAGACAACCCGACAACCACGACGGGCAACTACCAATCATCCTCATCATCATCCCTCTTCGCCATCGCCTGCTTCCTCGCCTTCAACGCATCCGCCAAACTGCCCGCTATGCTCGGCGTCGCACTATTCCTGCTCGCATCGCTAGCGTTTCCGCTGCCGTTCGCTCCGTTCAAGCTCATACCCGAATCCCTAGCCTGGAGCGAGGCCACCGCGGGCGCGGGGGCGGGCTTCCGGCCGGCAACTGGTCGCTTGGCGGGCGGCTGGGGAGCCACGCGGCCGCCGCTGGCACCGTTGGCAGCCGGGGGAGGAGGAGGGGGAGGACGGGGGGCAACGACCGGGGGTGCGGGGGCTTGCTCTTCTACGTAGGCCGCGGGAACCCAGGCTTGGCCGCCTCCGGGGGTCTTGGCTAGCCACCAGCCTGTGATAAGGTTGTTAGGATTTGTTGAGAGCAAAAAGATAGATGGTCAGGGATGGGAGGGACGGGAAACATACCGTTGTTCTCTTTCTGGATAATCTCAATCATATCTCCAGCCTTAATGGAGAGCTCGTTCTCCTTTGTGCCGGCAAAGTCATACAGCACCTTGGCCATGATCTTGGGCTTAGCAGCCGGCGCTGGAGGAGGCGGCGGCGGAGGGCGCACGGTCGAGGTGCTGGACTGCTGCCTCGTATGGCTGGGAAGAGGCTTAGAAGCGGCTGGTGTAGAGGCCGCCCCAGGGCGAGCGGGAACGGGCCTGCTAGAAGCCGCAGCGGCAGAAGCAAGAGGGTTGGAAGCAGCGATAGAAGGACCGCCGCCGGGCCGGGGCTGAGCCGTGCGGTTGGGGTTGGCATTTCTCGCCGGCCTTCCACCAGGACCACCGGGCTTGATGAGCTTGCCCTTGGTGATCGGCCTTGGAGGAACAGGCTTGGCCTTGGGTTGCGGCCTGGACACCGAGTTGGGAGGCTCGCCAGGCTGGGTATGAACAGTACTACTCTTGTAGAAGTCTTGAGAGGTCGGGGCGTCCTTCAGCACCTTGACCAACTGCATCTTGCCGGGCTTCTTGGCGTACTCAATGCCGTCACCGATCTTAAGGTTGAAGCTTCCGGGCATGACCCTCTTCATCTGCGTGAACATCTCGGTCTTGAGCACGCAGTTGAGTAGGGGATCGGCCTCTTGTTGCGACCCAACACCCAGGGAGAACCAGTCATCTCTGGCGGTAGACGCCCCAATGAACTTGATAGAAGCCAATGGGAAAGCCTTCTCTGCCATAATCTGGACGTGACCCTGATTGAGAACCTGAGCGACGATGTAGAACTTGCTGTTGGTTACGACCAGGATTCTGGGACTAGGCTTGCTGGAACGACCAAACTTGTGCTCAAGAAGCTCACCGCGGCAGGAGAACACTGCCTTCTCGTTGCTGCCAATGTTGATGGCATTGCGAATCTGAGCACCAGGACCGCTGGTGGCGTTGATGCCAAGGTAGTCACCCAAGAAGCGACGGGAACCCAAAATAGACATTCTCCTGCGCTCCTTGCGGCCTCCCAGCACCTTGTGGCCTTCGTCACGGAGCTGCAGGTACTCGGCACCAACGCGCTTCTTCCTCCAGATACGCTGGATGCGGATGGCAGCCTCTGCCCTGTATGCGAGGTACGCACGCCACATGCGCTGAATGCGCGTCGCCATGTTATGCCAGTACCTGTCTCTCATATGCTCAAGAGCGAACAAAGTCTCGGGCGACTTGATGAAGGCCTTGGTCACACCCAATTGCCACTCCTCCTGCGGGATACTCGTGTCCTTGAGGATCTGCTTCGTCGCCGCCTCATAGGAACCCGTCCAGGTATACTCACCAGCATAAGATGTGGCAGGCGAGAGTAGGAAGAAACGGTCGACAAACTTCTCGAACGACTGACGGTATGCGAAACCGGCGCGGCGAATGCGAACGTTTTCCTGAAGACCGAGATACTTGACCTGATGGAGGACATTGGGCTCATTGTACTCCGTTGGCGACTTGTTCTCGTTGGGCTTGATAGTACGGATATACGAAGGCTGGCACTTCATCAGAGTATCGACTAAAGCGTTGGCGGAAGTTCTGATTCTGTCACCGGCAGAAGGGGGCTGCCTGCGGTTGTCCAAATCGACCTGCTGGGGGAACAGAGTATGGACGAACTGGTTTTGACTGGCCTGGAAGAGGTTCTGGACACCCTTGAGAAGCAAATCCTTGTTCTTGTCCGTGATACCGTCCACACTGTACGTCACATCACCGGCGTAGTGCTTGACAATAAAAGCACCCTGGCGGGGCGTAAGATGGGGGTTCGACATGCCGTTGATACTCTGCATGAAGGTGCGGTCGGAAGCCGCCGGATCAGCGTGAGCAGTCTTGGTGGCATCCTTCATAGCAGAGAAGATACCAGGGGGTCTGGTAGACTCGATCAACTCGCACACAATCTTGTTGTCGAAATACTTGATGGGCGTCCACTTGATCTGTTCCCTCGCATACTCATCCTGCTCGGCCTTGAGTGTCAACTGGATGAAGATTTGCTGGAGCTTTTCGTTCACGTAGTTGATGCAGAGCTGTTCAAAGCTGTTCTTTTCGAAGATTTCGAAACCGTAGATATCAAGGATACCAATTGAGTTCGTCGTAGCCTGGCGAGCCTTGAGGGACACGTTGATGCGCTCCACAATCCAATCGAACAAGTTGTAGTAAATGGCCATTGCCAAGGCATCTCTTGTCGCGGTAGCCTGGGGAACGTTGGCGGGAGACTCGATCACCTCGCCAGGTCTTGGGGTCAAGATACGGATCGTGAGGGCGTGGACCAGCTGAGCGGGATCGACCTCGAGAAGGTATGCCAAGAAATCAACCACAGACTGATCTGATACAGCAGCATATCCATCATCGCCCTCCTTAAACACCAGGTTTCCAGCCCAAAGAATAGCTGACAGCATTCGGAAGATGTTGTCCTGTTCCTGTTGCGAGAGACCGATAATCTTCATGGCATTAAGGGTATCCTGGTACTCGGCCAAATCATCGATACCGTCGACATCGAAGCACTTGGCCTTGCTGGTATAGAGGTATGTTTCGGGTTTCTGGATACCGTACATTTCGCGGTACTGCTGAGACGCTCCTTTTGTGAACTGGTAAAAGATGTGGAAGTTACGCTCGTTGGCAATCTGACCGACGACACGGCTCTTCTCGAGGAGGTAGTTGGTGATGTCGGCACCGATGGGCTCGCCCTGAGCGTTGAAGTGAATCTGGAGGTACTTGCCGAAGCGGGACGAATTGTTATTTCGCAGCGTCTTGGCGTTACCGAAGGATTCTAGCAGAGGGTTTGTCGCGAGCACCATATCCTTGATCTGCTGAATATCGTTCGACCCGCCTCCGGACACATTGGCGATGTACTGCATAATGCGCTTTGCGGCCTCGGTCTTGCCGGCTCCGGACTCGCCCGAGATGATAACGCACTGGTTCTCGCTGTAGGCCTTCATGTTGTAGTAGGCAGATTCGGCAATGGCGAAGACGTGAGGAGGCATCTCCAGACGGTTCTTGCCCTTGTAGCTTTCGAGGACCTCGTCGGTGTAGATGCCCAAGTCGCGAAAGGGGTTGACGGAAACCAAGACATGGCCGATGTATGTGTAGATCTCCCGTCCCTCGAAACGCTTCTTCAAGTTCTCGTTGATGGCCTCGTTGGAGACCTTGCTGAGTAGTGTCAGGTCTGATACACCGATCTCCTTCTTCTTGGTGGTGTCGAAAGTGGCCTTCTTGGGGGCCGAGCTGGACTTGTCTCCGCCAGCAGAGCGCTCGGCCCGCGCGGCCTTGTCCTTTGATCGTTTTGTGATACCCTGTGAGGATAGAGAGACATTGGTTAGTGCTTGTCGGAGTGTGTATGTTGTTGTGGCCGGCGCATTCCCTTGGTCTCGGATTGGGTTGGGCTTGGGTCGGCTTGGGTCGGATGATGCAACTCACCATGGCGGGTGTTGTGTGTCTCTCTCTCTCTCTCTCTCTTTGGTGTACTTTCAAGTTGTCTCCTGAACTGCTATTACCAGCAATTCGCGCTTCCCACCAAGGCTGTCGTGGGATATGTCTGTAACGATCGAATGTCCGCGATAACGGGTACTAGGCGCGGGCCGGTAATAGCTTGCGGTATATTGCGATGAGGGGTGGTGGTGAGGGTGGTATGTCGGAGGAAGAGAGACTGGAACCTGGAAGATGCTGGAGTTGCCAGTGTTGAGTGTCCAGCGCCCGTGATCGTTCCTTGGATGAGATGCGTAATCGCTGGTGCTCCGCCTCCCCTGGCAGGAGCAACGGGAGCGTCCTCTGTGCCAATCCATTGTGCGCTGGTACCTGTACCCTTGATCGAATTGGTGCCTGACGCTGACCGGCCTTCTGTAGCGGGACACATGTACAGTGACGAAGGCCGCGAAACCCACCGCCTAAATATAGGTGGGGCCGTCTGCTCGTTGAGGTTGGTCCCATCAAAGCGACGGGATCCACTTGGGCCTTGACGGGACTTCCCCGCCAGTCGATACGATGAAATGGAAGGAATAGGCCAATCAGAATAGCTCCCCTTGCCTCACAGCCACACTGAATGACGTTCAAGCCACTGACCGATATGGCCTTGTAGGCAAAAGCCACGCAAGCAATCACCGACTTTACACCATCTTGAGTCTCGAGTTCAACTCTTGCAAACGCGAATAACCTCATCAACCTTTACAAACACCCTGTCCGACGGTCAACTCTGTGTACTGGGTGTTGACCATCAACGCGACTCGAGGAGATTTGTGCTTCATTTAACTCGACAGGCAATCATGGACATCTCATCTTATCCGCTGCAAATTTCCCGTCAGTCATTTGCAATGTCAACTGCCTCCTTCCTGTCATGGAATGGAGAAGTGAGGTGACAAGGCAGCTAGCCTGAAAGAACAGCCAAAGAGCCTTTCTGGAAGGAGACTCAAGCTTCATTATATACCCTCTGCGAGCCTTCAGAGCTTCGTTCTTGTACCACATCGGTTTCCTTCTCGACACCAGGAATGCCCATGTTTCGAGAGATATCGTACGATTTTTCCCACGTTTGGTTGCATCCTGATCGCCGTTGCCCATCAAGGCTTCTTCGATTTACACATGCTCCCCAACCGCCTCGTGGTGGTGACAAGGTTTGAACCAAATCGGCATTTTTCCTTGCATGGCCCCCAACGCAAGATATCAGCCTTTTTTTGAGCTTGATTCTTTGAATTCTTGCATGTCTTCGCCATGGTGCTTCCTTCAGAGAGTCTTACATGAGTGAGATGTCCGTCTGAACAGCTCAACCATGTTCAAGGCACACTCTAGTTCATTTTCCAGCTCAGTCGAGGTACCAAATCCAACTCTCCTGACACGCAACAAAAGCAACCCTCAAGCTCCTTTCGAAAATGGTTTCTTTGAAGAGCACAGCACATATGTACCGCTCCTCGTTTCACTAGACGTTCAAAGTCACCCCGGGGGCCCGAGGGGATTCGGAACCTCTCTCTTCCAGTCTTCCTTGGCCCCCGTGGCCCCCCTGGCCCCCCTGTCCGACCTCAAACGAAACCAATGGATGACACCAAGATAGCATTCTGAAGTTGCCCACCAAGTTCTTTACCCCGGAAAGACATGGCAGCTCAGACTGGTAGTTTTACTCAGCTTGTCTCGATGTTTCAGCCTTAAGAAACATTTACGTCAAAGCACTCTTAGGCGGCCACTCTCAACTCCAATGGATGGCATTTTACTCTTTTCCCTGGCTATTTCGGCATCAATGTAGCCTCAGTTGATACTTTTGAGATTCGAGTAAGAGACCTTTGGGTGGTTTCAAACTACAAGTCGGGGACAAAGCGGCACCCGCAGCGGCGCCTTATTCTTGAGTTGTTAACTCGAGGAAAAAGCAGTCCATATCCAAACATGAACCGGACCACATCGTCGGACTCAAGTGCTCAACTCCGTGTGCCGCTGAGAGGAACAATATCTCGCAGAGGCGATATAGAGTCTGGGTCATCAGCCCACCAAATCATTATGCGTAGCCACGGCCAAGGAGTGATAGCAGTATGCTTAAACATATCACGGTGTAGTAGGTCAAGTTCAAGATGCGGTCATCTCACATTGACATGTTACCACGCTTTTTCTCGTCCCTCGGGTCGGTTACAGGAACTCGGAGTGCACAGAGATGGATATCTGCGGCGACAAGCACAAGAGCTAATCGATCTAGTAGTCCTGAACTGGTCTAGAGGCTGTCGTCACCTTACCAGGCAATTGTGAGATATCATTGGACGAAGAGAAGCTCCAAACCACGAGTTCTCCTGCAGGGCGCCATCCTTCTCTGGTGTCTAGCGCCGCCGAGAGCATGTCACTGCACAAAGGAGCAGAGACAATTCGGCCTGTTCGAGACGAGTCTCCCCCTGTCCGTAACCCAACCGTTAAGCGCCGGGACGATATGGGTGTGACAGCATTTCCTGATTGGGCCTAACTTTTCACTCTTGATATTCTTGGGATTCTGGGCCCTGAGGCGGTTTCTGGGCCCTGAGGCGGTTTCTGTTTATCTTTTTCAGATCTCTCCTTCCCTTTTCACTCTTTCCTCTCCCGCTACTTCTTGCCTCTTCAAGCTTCATTGTCACCAAGCCGACAATACCACGCTGTTTAAGGGTTCGCTACCACGCTATACTCAACCCCTGTCGCAGTCGAAACATTCAGGTCGCCTCCCGCAACCCCCTCGTCAAAGCGTCTCTAACAGCTTTCGTCTCAACTTCTCTCCACCGTCTGTCGCAAAGACCTTGTCCGTCTGATATCAGTCAACGCCCAGCGGGAATCTGACACACCTATCCTGGATCGCGAAACCCGACTATACGGTTACACCTAGTTATTCGGTACCGTCCAGCACAGTCAAAAGCTACTTCAACCGTCCAGCAAGGAAGCTCGGATTGTCCTACTGCCGTGTTCCCCGGGTCTGACCATTGACCCCGGACAATAACATCACCACTACTACCATCACCAATTTTATCGATCGACGGAATTCTGTGGGCAGCCGACAAGCATCCCACTCACTCCAGTCTTGGCTCCCATCAACCATCTCCCCTCTTGAGGTTGGGCTTCCCCCGCGTATACTTCCTGTCGTGGTTCCTACCATCTCTCTTTCTTTTCCTCACCTTGTGAGGTAACATTTTTCTTTGAGCCTTACGGTTACTCCACCCTTCCATTCTCTTTAGCTGCTGGCTCAGATCACTCTTTACTTTCTATTCTTACACTGGTGTTTGTGTCTTGTTGTTGGGTTTACCGTGCTTCATCTTCACCGACCTGGTTCACCGAGACGCATACCGATATCAACTTAATTGGGAGGACGGATCACTTTTGGATATCAGAGTGTCGGCAAAGGGAATCTTACGGTCGTTACAACAACCAGTCACCACGGCTTCGATACCCACGAACCTTACACCGAGTGTTCACGAGTCGCAGGTCGACGTTTCATCAACTGCCGGAATCGATTGTGTTATTGAGTACGGGCTAAGCGGAGGAAAATCCAAGCAGTCGCCAACATGAGTCTCCTCGTGCTGCTGAAGAAGCAGCTCACGCCAACGAAGCTGCTCTTCCATGTGCTCTTCTGGGCGTTTCACTGGGGACTGTTTGCTTATGGATGGTACGTTTTGATATTCTCAGTCGGTGGTCGAATAGGCTTGGGACTTGTTGAGCAAAGGAACAATTACTGACACAACGATCTACAGGTGGAAGCAAGCAACTGATGCCCGTCTAGCGGGTCTAAACAGTTTAAAGTACTCAGTCTGGTTCTCTCGAGGTGCCGGTCTAGTATTGAGTGTAGATGGCATGCTCATCCTGTTGCCAGTTTGCAGAACGATTATGAGGTTTATCCGACCTAAGATCAGATTCATCCCACTCGATGAGAACATTTGGATGCACAGACAGCTCGCTTACGCTATGCTTCTCTTTACCATTATCCATACTGCATCTCATTACGTTAAGTGAGTATCACCCGCAAACCACTGGGAAACAGCGAGACACTGCTAACCTGGCAACAGCTTCTTCAACGTTGAGAAGACACAGATTCGCTCCGTATCGGCAGTCCAGATTCACTACGCCCAACCTGGTGGTATCACCGGCCATGTCATGCTCCTTTGCATGCTCCTGATGTACACGACAGCCCACCACCGCATTAGACAGCAATCCTTCGAGACCTTCTGGTACACTCACCACCTTTTCATCCCCTTCTTCCTCGCCCTGTACACCCACACGACTGGCTGCTTCGTCCGCGACACTGCCGACGGCTTCTCGCCCTTTGCCGGTGAGCAGTACTGGGAGCACTGCATCGGCTACCTCGGCTGGCGCTGGGAGCTCTGGACGGGCGGCTTCTACCTCCTCGAGCGCCTCTACCGCGAGATCCGCGCCATCCGCGAAACCAAGATCACCCGCGTGGTCCGCCACCCCTACGACGTCGTCGAGATCCAGTTTCACAAGCCCTCATTCAAGTACAAGGCCGGCCAGTGGCTCTTCCTGCAGATGCCCCAAGTCTCCAAGTACCAATGGCACCCCTTCACCATCACCTCGTGCCCCTACGACCCTTACGTTTCCGTGCACATCCGCCAAGTCGGTGACTTCACCAAGGAACTCGCCAACTCGGTCGGCGCCGGCCCCGCCCAAGCTAAGCTCTACGACGGCGTCGACCCCAACGGCATGTACGAAGTCGCCCTTATGAACGGCGACCACCTGCCCCCGCTCCGCATCGACGGGCCCTACGGTGCTCCAGCCGAAGACGTCTTCGAGAACGAGATCGCCGTGCTCATCGGCACCGGTATCGGCGTCACCCCCTGGGCCTCCATCCTCAAGAACATCTGGCACCTGCGCAACGGGCCGAACCCGCCCACCCGCCTGCGCCGTGTCGAGTTCATCTGGGTGTGCAAGGATACCTCCTCGTTCGAGTGGTTCCAGATTTTGCTGAGTTCACTGGAGCAGCAGTCGAGCGAGGCAGCCCGGATTCCCGGATCGAGCGGCATAGAGTTCCTCAAGATTCATACGTACCTCACCCAGAAGCTGGACATGGATACCACGCAGAACATTGTGCTGAATAGTGTCGGTGCCGACGTGGATCCGCTGACGGAGCTGAAGGCGAGGACGAACTTTGGTCGGCCCAACTTTCAAAGGTTCTTTGAGAGCATGCGGAACGGGATTTTGGATCGGACGTATCTGAATGGGTTGGAGGGGAATATGCGGACGACGGTGGGAGTGTATTTCTGTGGGCCTAGTGCTGCTGGTGAGTTTTTCTGCGCCCTCCCTCCCTTTATGAACTTACGAGGACAACTTGCTGACATCTTTTTTCCCTGAACAGCCCGTGATATCAAGAAGGCGGCTAAGGCGGCGACGTCTCGTGAGGTCGATTTTAGGTTCTGGAAGGAACACTTCTGAGTTATTTTTTTTTCTATATACACACATACACATGTACATGTATCTACTTTTTGGATCGATACCTACGAGTTTGACATGACGTTAAGTGTTGGGATACCTCTTGGCATGGCATCATCATCAGTATCATCCTCGTTCCGTTCATCAGTGAAGTTAGCTAGCCAAAGAAGTGTGCTACAGATCAAGGCATACGGGTATTGGACCAGTACACCAACTCAGAATTTTAGAACTGGCGAACCTTTAACTGGATAACCGCCGCGATGTTTGTGTTCAAAACATCATGCGTGGCTTCCACCCGTCGTGGCTTCAACGACGCTGTTAGTGTTATTGCGTTGTTCCCTGACAATCACTAACGAGTTCCTTGGTTGGTGGGGTGAGCTCTGGACTCGACTGGCGGTGACAGAAGCTGGTGGGGTTCATCCCGAGTGCAGGGGCAGCGGGTCGAGTCGTCGCTGCAGTGGTCCCAGTGGCAGCAGCGCATCCCGTCTCGTGTTTGGAGTCTTGGGCCTTGTTCTCCAGTTGTTTCTTTCAGCTTCCCGTCAGCTCGTATTGTCTCCTCTTTCGTCCCACGTCACTTCCTCTTGGAATCTGTTTATAGCTGAAGCTGCGCCTCTCTTCCAATTCATCGTTGAATATAATATTTCTCCCTTCCCAATAATTCCCAGCCTACTCAACCATCTACAAGTTATAGCACCAGTTCCCCCGATTCGGTTGCCCCGACTACCACGACTGCCCCTCCATCGCGACACCGAGACCTTCCGTCCCATCGATCGCATTCCTCGTTTCATACTATATACCCAACCATACTAATTCCGCATAATCACAATGGCCGCTGATCCAGTACCGACCCCGGAGCAGGTCTCCGAGCTCAAGGACAAGTACACCAACGCCGGCCAGGGCCAGGTCTTCACCTTCTACGACTCCCTTTCGAGCGAAGAACAGGCGCAGCTTTACAAGCAGCTTGCCGCCTTCGATCCCCTCTATATCAACAAGATCGCCGCCAAGGCGCTCACTCCTCAGACCACCGAGAGTGACAAGCCCACCCTCGAGCCATTGCCCGACTCGGCCAGAGCCAGTATCCTGGACTCCGACAAGCAGACTCAGGATGAGTGGTGGAAGCGTGGCCTGCAGCTAATTGCTGACAATAAGGTTGCTGTTGTCCTCATGGCGGGCGGTCAGGGCACCCGTCTTGGCAGTTCCGCCCCCAAGGGCTGCTTCGACATCGGTCTGCCCTCTCATAAGTCTCTCTTCCAGATCCAGGCCGAAAGAATCGCGAGGCTCCAGGTGCTGGCTTCGGAGCAACGCGAGCAGACCGGCTCCCCGGTGGTGCCATGGTACGTCATGACGTCTGGCCCTACTCGCAAGGCCACCGAGGACTTCTTCAAGACCAACAACTACTTCGGCCTCAGCCCTGAACAGGTCATCATCTTCGAGCAGGGTGTGCTTCCTTGCATCTCCAACGACGGCAAGATCCTCCTTGAGAGCAAGTCCAGGGTTGCCGTCGCTCCTGATGGCAACGGCGGCATCTACAACGCTTTGGTTGACGCCAAGGTGCTCGACGACATGGCCCGCCGCGGAATCGAGCACGTCCACGCCTACTGCGTAGACAACTGTCTCGTCAAGGTCGCGGATCCCGTCTTCATCGGCTACTGCGCTTCCCAGGACGTCGATATCGGTACCAAGGTGGTGCGCAAGCGCAACGCGACTGAACCCGTGGGACTTATTCTCACCAAGAACGGCAAGCCCGACGTCGTCGAGTACAGCGAGATCGACCCAGACGTTGCTGCCGAGGAGGACCCCGCACAACCTGGAGTTCTCAAGTTCCGTGCCGCCAACATTGTCAACCACTACTACTCGTTCCGCTTCCTTGAGTCGATCCCCGAGTGGGCGGGCAACCTGCCGCACCACATTGCCCGGAAGAAGATTCCTTATGCGGACCTGGAGTCCGGAAACACTGTGAAGCCTGAGAAGCCCAATGGCATCAAGTTGGAGCAGTTTGTTTTCGACGTCTTCCCCTTGATCGAGCTTTCCAAGTTCTCTTGCATGGAGGTTAAGCGCGAGGATGAGTTCAGCCCGCTGAAGAACGCCAGGGGAACGGGCGAGGATGATCCGGATACCAGCAGGCACGATATCATGGCTCAGGGACGGAGGTGGTTGGAGGCGGCTGGTGCCAAGTTCGCGGAAGGCGTGGAGGACGGCGTGGAGGTCAGCCCTCTAGTCAGCTACGTAAGTCTTGCCTCTGCTGTCTCGTCTTTTTTTCTCTCTTACCCCTTTCCAACACATCTTTGGATTACTTTATACTAACCTCTGTTCTCTTCAACTTAGTGCGGCGAAGGCCTCCAGAGCTACGCCGACACAACGGTGGAAGCGGTTGACCGCATTGAATAGGGTGTCCCGTAGCTCCGCGCTTCCTGTTCATTCGCACTCCCGCCTCCCGCTCTAGGAGACCCTCCCTACCATTACGAATACCTACTTAGACCGGTCCCTTCTCCCCATGCCGTCGTCCACCAATACAAACATTTTCCCGGTATCATTTGGCCCAAATCATTCGTTCCGTCTACCTTTGTCCGCCAGGATGAAAAGATTCCTTGTCCCGTCGACTGCCCGTCTCCGCCAATGACACCAAAGCTGGGACCTTTTTCAGGCATGGCTGATCAGCAAAAAGATCCCAGCGGGTGTTGTGAAGATGAAGCATCAGTTGAAGACAATCACTCAGCTTCTTGGCCTTGAGATCTGTGGAAGCACAGCTTCTCTGTCATGAGCGTGCCGTACTGATAGCCGTTGGTCATTATCTAACTTTGTGATGATGGGGGGACGGAGCGATTAGGCAGGGTTTACAAAACCACGATGTGCTTTCTACTTGGCGTATCTTTTGGGTTTTTACATAGGACAGCGAAAAGAAAGAGACAGCGAGCGAACTTCGTGGCTTGAACTACGACTTACCTTCAACATGTTCTTCATGACTATTATCGTGACAAATTGGCACTTCAGTACGGGTTTAGCAATGCTTCAGTCCAACATTGTTGCGCTTATTAGGTTCATGGGTATCATTCGTTCTTTTCCTCCTCTTGCTTCCTCCTTGCCCCTTTCCCTTGTCTATTTTAAATTCCGTCCTCCACAAATCCGATATCCAGCTGGCAGAATAACCAACAACCACATCACTCTCTTGCTATCCCCCCCGTTCCTTCAACCCCCATATCCTCCAACCATCCTACTCCCCCCACCCTCTCCTTTCCAACCATCCCCACCCCATCCCCTCCTCCCCCTCAGTTCTCAGTCCTTACAAGTCCTCGCCCTCTCCTCCCCCTCCTCCTTTTCCCTCCTCTTATCCTCCTCCTCCAACGTCATCGTCCTCAACTGCAACGCATGGATCCCGCCCTCCTTCGCCATCTCGTCCTTGAGCAATCCGTAAACCAATCGATGACGGGCCGGCTGCATTTTTCCCTTGAAGGCGTCCGACGAGATCACCACCCGGAAGTGCGTCTCGCGCGACGTGACGCCGCGCATGGCGGAGTGGTGGGCGTGTAGGTGCGAGTCGTTGTGGATTTGGAGGGTGCGGGGGGTTAGGTGGGTTGTGATCTGTGAGGGGGGAGGAAGGGGTGGGTTAGTTAGCGGTGGTGGATCGGACTGGAAGGTGTAGGAAGAGGAGTAAGAAAGGGGGAGGAGGAAGATGGGAGGGAATACTGGGATTGAGGATCGAGGCAGGGGCGGATAGATGGAGGGTTGTGGGAGCTTGTGGGAGCTTGTGGGAGCGAGTAATGGACGAACCTTTTCACGAATCGCATCCTCCAGTGGGGTAGTGGAAGGGGATTCGGACGTCACGGTCGACGAAGACATGATGATACTGGTGGTGGAGAGTGGTCGGAAGGCGGTCAAGGGAGTCATGGCGGTCGTGGCGCTTCTGGCGAGGCCGAAGACGGTGCGGCGCAACATAGAAGTAGATCCCGGGGGTGGTATCGGCCGGCCGGGAGACTAGGGAACTCGGGAGGTTTTGGGTCGGGTTAGCTATGCGCTTGCGCTTTGGTGCAAGTCGGCGCGGGGTGTGTGTCGCTTGGGATGAGGATGTTTGGTCGAAAACGATCGCCTTAAGTAGGACAATGATGCCGAATGATGATGGTCGTGATCAACAACAAAGTCTTGAAACTTGTTCGTGGTGGAGGAGGGGCAGAGGAGAGCTTGACCAAAGGTTGGATGATGACAGGAACCATCCAATGGGAATTCGCGGGGACCCCCATTGTTTACACCCCCTGTAAAAATGCCCCACGATCTTTCGGCTGCAGGGGTGCACATCAACTGGGGTGGGACAGAAAGACGCTGAAGGAGCGCCATCTTTTTTACCGTATTGCCGAATTGGAGCAGCAGGAGCAAACATGTTCCCTACGTAGCATACCTCTAGCATGGTGTTTGCTTTTCCTCATGGTGATGTTTGTTGACATACAAGGTGATATGGCTCGAATGTTGGCGTTGCCAGTGCAACGATGGGGAGGTCAAAGAGTAAAAGAGGTGACCCGACTCGGCATCTACATGTATCTCCGTCCACCATTTGTAGTTCCACCGGGCCGGGGCTAGGTACCTCTAGATCGGCACTATCACAGCACTTCAGAAGCACCTTGCGAACTCGACATCGGGTTGGTGTAAGCCGACCGACCATTCACCTACTTACCGTGCTCCGTTAGACACGCGCGTACCGTCTTCGGTCCCCAGGACCCAGATCATCGCAATATAAAGTGGCCAAGGTAGTACCCGCGCCCAACCTCCGGGGCCTCTCCTTCTTCTTCTTTCCCAATGAACCTACCCTTTATAACCCTCGGCACCAGGCGACTTGGTTCCCGGTTGCTTAACAAGACTCCTGCTGCCGCCTTTGCTTCCCCTCGATACTTCAACTGCAGATCGGTCACCGGTGCCGTAAGAATGGCGTCCACACTCCCCAAGCTGCCCGTCTTCGAGGCTATCTCTCGTCATGATCCTGAGTCTACCGTCGTCGTTCACTCAAACAGTGGGAGGACCTTCAAGTATGGCGAGCTCCTAGGGGATGTTTGCAAGACCCGAAATAGGCTATATGAGACCGCTGGCAAGGAAGATCTCAACGGCGAACGCATTGCTTTCTTGGTAGAAAACAGCTACGACTATGTAGGTAAGCCAGTCATCTATCTACATCCAGCCATTGACTTGGAACGGCATAAGATACTAACATGTAATTCCGTAACAAGTAACTCTGTTGGCATGTTTGGCTGCCAAGTCTATTGCCGTGCCCTTGTCCCCTGCTTTCCCAGCTCCAGAGCTCCAGTACATCCTGAACCACAGCGAAGCTCTGTTGCTTCTCTCCTCCGCCAAGTTCACAAACAAGGCACAGGAGGTGCTGAAGACGGAATTGGATTCTAAGCCAACACTTCTTGAACTTGTCAAGTTCCAAGGAGGGAGCCAGCATGAGCAGGTCACTCTGGACTCCAAGTCCGGACCGGGAGAAGCGGGCATGATGCTCTACACCTCCGGAACCACCAACCGGCCTGTAAGAGACCTTTCAATCTACTGTTTACCACTAAAGAGTTGCTGACTGACCCCTGATACAGAAAGGCGTACTCATCCCCCAGTCAGTCATGACCGCCCAAGCCCGCTCCCTCATCCACGCCTGGGAATACACCCCCGCCGACCACCTCCTCCACGTGCTACCGCTGCACCACATCCACGGCACCATCAACGCCATCTTCACCCCTCTCTTCTCCGGCAGCTCCATCGAGTTCATGTTCCCTTTCAACCCCGACGCCGTCTGGAAGCGTTTCGCTGCTCCCTTCCTCCCCGACACATCCGACAAGAAGAAGATCACCTTCTTCACCGTTGTCCCGACTGTCTACTCTCGCCTCCTAACCACCCACAAGCATCTCCCCGATGACCTCCAAGCCGCCACTCGCGAGGCCATTGCTCCCAGCAACCTTCGCCTCGCCATCTCCGGCTCCGCCGCCCTCCCTACCCCAATCAAGAAGGCCTGGCACGACCTTTCCTCCGGCAACGTCCTCCTCGAGCGCTACGGCATGACCGAAGTAGGCATGGCCCTCTCGTGCGGCCTCGAAACCGCCGACCGCGTCGACGGCTCCGTCGGCTGGCCTCTTCCCGGCGTGGAAGCCCGCCTGGTCGATATCGAGAACAACACCATCATCGAGCCAGGTCAGGAGCGGGACCCCGAGACGGGCCGTGAGCGGGCTGGTGAGATTCAGTTGCGCGGACCCAGTATCTTCAGGGAGTACTGGCGCAACCCCGAAGCGACAGCCAAGGAGTTCGTCACAGACGAGAAGGACGTTGCGGGCAGCAAGGGGCGCTGGTTCAAGACGGGCGACGTAGCCGTCAGGAGGCCAGCTCCCGAGGGCGCGGGCAAGAGCGACCGTGAGAGCCAGAAGGACTGGGCGAGGGGGGATATGTACTTCATCCTTGGGCGGAAGAGCGCGGATATCATCAAGAGCGGTGGTGAGAAGGTGTCGGCGCTGGAGGTGGAGAGGGAGATGCTCAGCCTGCCTCAGGTGGCCGAGTGTGCGGTGCTGGCGGTTCCCAGTGGGAAGTGGGGACAGAAGGTTGGCGCGGTGGTGATTCTGGATAAGGAGCAGGTGCCGGAGGGCAAGTGGAGCCCGTTGGAGATGAGGAGGGCGTTGAAGGATCGGTTGGCGGCGTATAAGATCCCGCAGGTGTTGAAGATTGTGGATAAGATCCCGAGGAACGCGATGGGGAAGATTAACAAGAAGAATCTGGTTAAGGAGGTGTTTGCGGATGAGTTTAGTGGGGATGAGCTCTAAGTCCAGATACGAAGAGAGCTTCAATAAGGAAAGAAGCGTCTTGGTGAAGAGAGATGGGGGTTGGTTGTGTACAAAGGAATAGCAAGCCAGGAGATGGATACCTAGTCACTTCACTCGTCCAGGGTCATCTATAGAAACATTGGTATATAGATGGTACAAATGCATTAGAGGTTTTGTTTTACAATTCTCCGTTCCCTGACCATTGACTGCATTCATGAACGTCAAACTACCCTCAGGGATTCTTGATATGTTTACCTAAAAGGAGAACCTCGATGGTCGGCTTGCCCAGAGTTTCTCAAAGTACACAAGTATCTTTCTTATCTCTACCAATCACATGGCTCCATTAAACTTATCCAAGCTCCACCCCCATCCCTGCACAAAAAAGTCCGACCCCACAGCCAAACTTTCTTTCTTTTGAGGAACTCGAGAATTTGGCGATCGCGAACGGACAACAGGCAAGAAGGACTGAAAGACCCAGTTCCTCGTCGGCACATCCATCCCTCCACGTCACTCCTTCAGCCTCCGCCCTGTACATAATCAATTGGAGCTGTACCTCTCGCCTTAGGCATCACGATAACTCTGCGTTCGTCCGCGCGAGCGACCGACCAACCGACAATTTTCTGAAGAACGATCTCGCTCGAACCCGATCGCAACGACCAATTCGCGACACCCCTCCATCCATCTGTCGCCAACCTTCCCAACCCACACTCTACTACTCCCTCGCGATCAGACACTCACTCCGTCCCCCTCCACATCCACATCCAACACATCCAACACATCCAACATGTCCTCCGCAAACACAAAATACGGCGAACGCCTCCTAAAATCCCAAGGCTGGCGGGGCAAAGGCTACTCCCTGCACCCGACCGACAACTCCATCGGGCTGTCCAACCCTTTGCGTATATCGCGCAACACCGACGGCCGCGGCATCGGCCAATCGACGCACTACACGTCGGACCAATGGTGGCTGGCGGCCTTTGACGAGAAGCTGAAGGGGCTGGACACGTCGAAAGATGGAAAAGTGGTGCAGACGACTACGCAGTCGAAGCTGGATGCCGTTACGGCGAATATTGGTGGGGGGAAGTATACGGGGGCGGGAGGACTTTATGCGAGTTTTGTTAGGGGGGAGGGACTTGCTGGGACGGTTGAACGGTCAGAAGAAAGTGGGAGGAGTACGCCGACTACTGATAGGGAGTATGTGGCTGGACTTAAAGGTGGGGTGAAGAAGAAGCAGAGGGATAGTAGTAGTAAAAAGAAGGAGGAGAAGAAGGAGGAAAAGAAGAGGAGGAAGGCGATGGAGAAACTGAAAAAGAAAGAGGAGAAGAAGAAGGCAAAAAAGGCGGCGAAGAAGGAGGAGAAGAAGAAGAGGAGGAGTGAAGGAGAGACGAAGGAGGAGAGGAAAGCGAGGAAGAAGGAGAGGAGGGCGAAGAAGGAGGAGAAGAGGAGGAGGAGGGCGGAGAAGGAGAAGGAGAAGAAGGGTTGAAGATGGGGTGGTTGATGGAGAGTTTGAAAAGTTGTCAGAATGAAGATACCCCTGTTGAGAGAAAGGAAACCATACTACCCTTTCCGGTACACCAGTCTGCCCTTGACGAGTTGTGTGCGGCCGGAGCTGTGATATATCGGAAAGGATGATGTATGGTGCGAGTCACTCCGTCTCCGGTTTTCTATCCTAGTCTCTGATGGAAGAGGACAGATCTGGCCGATTCGCGAGAGGAGCGGAATTGATAGTGAGGAATGATGAAAATACCATCATCACTTTGGAGTATTTGTACTTGAGACTTGGAAGTGTTTGGATGAGTGACTGGACGACGACTCTCAGGCAAATTGAAGACGCGCAAGATATATACAGGAGGTGAGGAGTGTGAAATGGGTGCGCGGCTCGACTTCCGCCCCAAGGTCGTCTCTTCTACTTCGGCATTTATGTACCTGTTGTCGAAAGGCCCGTTCGTGTAACGAGTAACTAGGGCGGGCTTTTCAGGCCACAACCAAGACAAAAAATATCCGTTCTAGACCAAGTGAGAATGAAAGAGAAAAATGCAGAGAACGTTTCCATGGTATTTTGGACTATAGTTAAAGGTGTGAAAACCGGTACATACGATACGGGGCACGGAGTGGTCTCCTGAACCTGTCTCTAAGTGAGGGAGCAGAAGTGAAACCGAAGAACCCTCCATACCGATTTGATTCTAACGCCGTCTACCCATTTGTACAGTGTGCTCCTCGTCCAGGTCGGTAAAGGATCACCTCAGAGGTCTGTCGTGGCAAAGCATAAGTTCCAAGACCTTCCATCACATCACGACCAAGCAAAGCCCCTCTATAGCACATAAAAAATCGTCAAGCTCAATGGACATATCCAGAGGTATCATTCATGATCATATCTCATACCGCTCTTTACCTATCCATCCCCATCAAGGCGCCTTAGGAACCTTCCCCGGCTTCCCACTCAACAACCACGGCCTCCTCTCCCAAAACTCATCCCTAATAATATCCAAATGCTCCACCACAATCCCCGCCTTCGTCCTCGCCTTCCTCTCCTTTTCCACCTGACTCTTCGATTTCACTTCGGGCACCGCGCCGCTGCTGCTCTTTTCTGCCTCCTCCACGACACTATTCAGATTCAGCGTAGTCCCCGGCTCCACCAGCTCGTACTCCCTAAAAATGACACTCCCCTTCTTGAAAATCTCCAGCTCATTATTATAGTTGATCCCAAACTTCTTAAACAAAATCTCGTTCTTGTCCGCCGAGAAGGTCCCCTTGAGCATCAATTCGGCCGCCGTCCCGTCCATTCCTCCCTGTTTGATGAGGGTCCAGAACGTGGTGTTGTACAGGTTGTTGATGTGGCAGTCGACCTGGCGCCAGCTCATGTAGTCGCGCAGGTTCTGGACGGACGGGTAGCAGACCGCCCTGCCGTCGAAGGAGGGTAACGGTGGAGACAAAGGAGAGTCGGCAAAGTAGACGGGCCAGTGGTGGACGTAGTAGGCTGTGAAGGTCGAGACGATGGTGGAGACGAGTTTGCTGGCCCGTCGCTCGAACAAAGTGCAGGATTTGTGGAAGACGAAGCTGTACTCGTCCGACACGCCGTAGGCGATAGTGATGTCGGGGAGCTCGGACATGACGGAGCGGGCGGCGGCGTTCATGAGGTCTAGGGCTCGCTTGTCGTTGGGCTTTTCGAAGGCATATTTGGTTGAGAATCTTGGGGGTGTGTTGTTAGTGACTGAGGAAATGTGTTTCTGGAAGAGGCTAGATATGTACATACTTTGTGAAGCCACGGCCATCGAGCCTTACTACTATCCAGGTGTTTGGAAGAAGCGAGTCAGGTTGCTCGAACTGCTTGACGTACTCAAACTTGGAGTTCGCCATTGTTGGGGGTATATAATGTTGTTTCGTTCTATTCTAGCCTTTTTAGTTAATGAGCGCCTTTGGCGTTTCCTTGTTGAGGAAGGGAAGACACTGGAACAAGAACAGAGGTGAACAGAAGAGAAATGTGTATTGAAACTTGCCAATGACTATAAAAGGTTGTGTAAGTGAGACGTGACACTCACGATGAACCGAATCTGAGTCTTCACAAGATCGATACCCCACACTCTTGACCCTGTCGCCGGTCATTTTAGCGCTTGACGGTTGTGCCCACCCATTAAAATCCCGGCCGGCGGGACTGTCCCCCTGACGCACACTGGGCTGGGCCGTGCATGCCCCCTGGAACGGGAACCCCACACTGACAGGTGAAGCTCCAGGTGGGGGCGGCCCCGAGTCCGTGAAAATGGAGGTTCGCGGAAGACAAAGCGCGACTGGAAGTCGTCCACCAACACCTCCTCAACCTCAGTATCACCAACACACATTTTCTCCCCGCGACCGTGGCTCAATCCTGTACGCGCGACTGCGGAAGAAGCGACTGCGGAAGAAAGATCGACAAGAGTTTCTCAAATCTCTCGGCATAACGAATATGAATCTTTTACTCGCCGAAGACTATCTTCTTCAAGATTACCCCGAACACATCACCAACACAATCCGATCCGGTCACTCTACGTGCGTGCGCTTCAACCGGACGGGCGACTTCCTCGCCTCGGGGAGGGTAGATGGCACTGTTGTAATTTGGGATCTTGAGACCATGGGGGTTGCACGAAAGCTTCGAGGACACTCCAAGAACATCACCTCGCTAAGTTGGTCACGATGTGGACGGTACCTGCTGTCTGCGTGTCAAGGCTGGAAGGCAATCCTCTGGGACCTACAAGATGGGAGCAAGTATCGCGAGGTGCGATTCCGCGCGCCAGTTTATGGGGCCGAGTTACACCCAATGCATCAGTACGTCACTCCGGGTGAGGTCGATAGTTTTACTGCGCTGTGGCAGGGACTGACCCGATAATTGCAACAGCCACCAGTTTGCCGCCGCGTTATTCGAAGAACAGCCGATGCTCGTCGACGTTACCGATCCCTTCGAAGTACGACATATCCTCCCTTCGGTCGAGAAACGATCCGACGACGGTGCCGACACCCCGACAAAGGAGAAGCATGCTAAGGAAGATGCGAGGCACATGACGACAGCGATCGTATACACCGCGACAGGCGAGCATCTCCTCGCCGGCACGACCAAAGGCCGACTCAATATCATCGATGCGACGACCCACGAAATCATCTACTCGGAAAAGATTGCTGGCGGTGTAATAACTACGTTGCGACTTACAGAATCAGGGAAGGAGCTGTTGGTGAATGCTCAGGACAGGACAATCAGGACATTCAAAGTGCCAGATCTGACATCGGCAGACCTGGATCCCGACACGATCCAAATTCCGCTCGAGCACAAGTTTCAGGACTTGGTCAACCGCTTATCTTGGAACCACGCCGCGTTCAGTTCGACCGGAGAGTACGTTGCAGCGTCAACGTTTAATAACCACGAGCTATACATCTGGGAGCGCGGCCATGGCAGTTTGGTGCGCATGCTGGAGGGGCCGAAGGAGGAACAGGGTGTTATAGAATGGCATCCCCACAAGCCCTTGCTAGCAGCGTGCGGTCTCGAAACAGGAAGGATAAACATCTGGTCGGTCACAAGTCCGCAGCGGTGGTCGGCGCTGGCGCCGGATTTCGTCGAAGTCGAGGAAAACGTCGAGTACATCGAGAAGGAGGACGAATTCGATATTCACCCGCACGAAGAAATCCAGAAACGACGGCTAGACGCCGAAGACGAAGACGTCGACGTGTTGGGGAATGCAGAGGGCGGGGGCGCTGGCGGCGACGTGGCACCATTCAGGATGCCGGTGCTTTTCAACCTCGGGGAGTCGGACAGCGAAGAAGAGTTCGTGAACGTGGGATTGGGGACGCTCAGGCGTAAGAGCCCTGACGATCAAGACGACGGTGCACCCGTAGGCGAGGGGAAACCGCCTGCCAAGAAGACAGTCACGCAGAGGACTCGGACGAGGAAGAGGTGAGGAGAGGGCATGGAAGACGAGACAATGAAACAAAGGAAGATAAGATACCCATGAATTTTTAGTAATTTGCTAGGGAGCTAGTTTAAAGTTTTAGACCGACTTTGGTAGCATGCAGCGCAACCAGCGGTTCTGAAACGTGCAGATTTCGGAGATATCATAACAATAGACTTCCATGTGTGTGTGCGGCGCACCAAAACATTCACGCTTCACATTGGATCTTCTTTGTGTGATGTTCTCGATTTCATTTTCATCCGAATGACGCAATTGGAGATCAAGTCGGCATGGCAGTTCCAAGTTCGGCGACGAGAGCAACGATGGCATCCATAGCATTTAACCGAATGTGGTCACAGCATGGTGGGGATTGGGTTGGATCTCCTCGTCTGTCAGAGTCGGAGTCGCTGATATTGCCGGCCGGCTGTTGATTGTAACCGTAGCGTAGGTAGCCTGTGAGAATTGTTGGGGTAACCGTGACAGCAACAGCCGCGTGGGCGGTTGGGTTTCTATCTTGGTCCTTGGAGAACAAGAGATCGGATCAAAATGCCAGGTACCAAAGGCGGCGCGTTCATCTTGTAGGACAATGGAAGAAGCAGTTGAACAAAGTTGGAGCGGGTGAGGCTGAGAGGGCAACCTGGAATGCATCAATGATGTCGGTTGCGGTCGTGTCCGAGCGAGCAACGTTTCCAGTTTCCAGTTCAGGTTTCCAGACTTCAGGCAATGGCCCCCGCCCCCTTGAGTCACAGGGGAGGCCTGGAATGGATGGTAAGGCGGTACCATTAAGGTACCTTGTTCTATCTGCAATCACCAGCCATTCACTAAATCCTCAGGCTGACCTTAGTGTTGGAGTGAAGGTACCGTCAAGTACCACTCAGTACCCTTCACCCTGCCCGGCCGCTGCTCAGAGCCTCTTGGTGCTTTGTCACCCAGTGCCACAAGTGGGCCCCTTACCGCATTGGGCCTAGTGGCTGCTCGCCTCTTGTCCCGCGTCGGTCTCTGGCTGGGCGGACGAGGGCGGTAGAACTTTTCAACCACCGTGGAGGTCTGCCGCCTTCCTTCCTGCTCCATACCTCAAACAACACCACACCCCTTCCAAAATTCCCGATCTTCGCAAAGCGCGTCCACATCGCCGGATTCTGCTGGTCGTCCACCACCACGATTCCGACGACTTTTAATCGACCGTGCCGACCGCGATCATTCGCGTAATCAAACGATTCCTTTTCTTTTCCGACTACACGCGCGACACTGGCGGGGCCGACAGCGTGCACGGCGGACTAGTTAGCTCCTTTCGGGGGCCGTTGGCCTGGACAACGCAGTGGAGGACAAGGGACTTTCGATTCCATCAACAAACACCACCACGCCATCTCGAGCCGACTGTGTGCATCGAGGTCTCGCGCTTTCCTTCTTTTAAAGAATACTAATTTTCTTTTTTTATCCGTCTTATTCGCCTTCGCCCCCGGTTTTGCGCGCGCGCGGGAGAGACGGCTACGACAACTTGATTGACGGCCCTCGCGTCTCACCGTCATTTCAGCCTCCGATTGACAAACCCTCCACCTTTTGGACAACGAGAACCGATTTTTTTCAGGACTGTAGAGCATCGAAAGGTCCTCCAAGATGGCGAACCTATACTTTGCGCACTCGAGTGCGCCCCTGCGGACTATCAAGGAAATCCAGTTCGGTCTGCTGTCGCCCGAGGAGATCAAGAGCATGAGTGTGGCCCACATCGTCTACCCAGAGACCATGGACGAGACCAGGACGAAACCCCGCGACGGCGGTCTCAACGATCCTCTCCTGGGCTCTGTAGATCGTCAGTTCAAGTGCAAGACGTGTGGCGAAAACATGTCCGAGTGCCCCGGCCATTTCGGTCACATCGAGCTGGCCCGACCCGTCTACCATCCAGGCTTCATCAAGCGTGTTAAGAAGATATTGGAGATTGTCTGCCACAACTGCAGCAAGGTTCTTGCTGACAGAGTTCGTGCAACCTATCCTATCCTTCAGGGTAGTTTTGGACGCTAACCTCCTTCTGTAGAATGACAAAGAGTTCGCGGCCGCCATGAAGATCCGCGATCCCAAGGTCCGCTTCAACCGAGTATGGGCTGTGTGCAAGAAGAAGAGGAGATGTGACAACGAGGTTATCAAGAAGAGCGATGATGACGAATTCAACCCTCTCGCCGACGCCAAGGGCGAGCTACCTGGCCACGGCGGCTGCGGCAACGATCACCCCACCGTCCGCCAGCAGGCCCTCACCCTCTATGCCCAGTTCGATACCAAGGACGAGGAGGGCGTCAAGAGCAAGGAGAAGAAGATCATCACCCCCGAGATGGCACTCAACATTTTGCACAACATGTCCGAGTCTGACATGATCGACATCGGTGTCAACATCTCTCAAGCTCGCCCTGAGTGGATGATTATCACTGTTCTGCCTGTTCCGCCCCCTCCAGTCCGCCCCAGTATTTCTATGGACGGTACCGGCACCGGTCTCCGGAACGAAGATGATTTGACCTACAAGCTCGGCGATATCATTCGAGCAAACGGCAACGTTCGCCAGGCCATCCAGGAGGGTTCTCCGGCTCACATTATCAATGATTTCGAGAACCTCCTCCAGTACCACGTTGCCACCTACATGGACAACGATATTGCTGGTCAACCACAAGCCCTGCAAAAGAGTGGTCGTCCCGTCAAGGCCATCCGTGCCCGTCTCAAGGGCAAGGAAGGTCGTCTGCGTGGTAACTTGATGGGCAAGCGTGTCGACTTCTCTGCCCGTACAGTCATCACAGGTGATGCCAACATCTCGCTGGATGAAGTCGGTGTGCCCCGTAGTATTGCGCGCACACTCACATATCCTGAGACTGTGACACCTTACAACATTGGCAAGCTCACCCAGTACGTCCGGAACGGCCCTAACGAGCATCCGGGTGCCAAGTACGTTATCCGCTCAGACGGTAGCCGTGTTGATCTGCGCCATCAAAGGCGGACAGGCCCGCTACAGCTGGAATACGGCTGGAAGGTTGAGCGCCATCTTATCGATGGTGATTACATCATCTTCAACCGTCAGCCCTCTTTGCACAAGGAATCCATGATGGGTCATCGTGTCAAGGTCATGCCCTACTCGACCTTCAGACTTAAC